GTATTGATAATATTTTCATATATATCTCTTCACCTGGATTTACATTAAATTTTCTCATTATTTCTAATCATAAAATGCACAAAGGCATAGGAGCTGACAGAATCAAAAAGAAAGAACATGATTGTGGTGACTAGCATGTTAATTAAAATAAGATTCTAAGCATTGGTCTTATGCTAATAGGAGAAAAGGACCAAACTCAGTGGCTTCAGACACCTGTTTATGGAAAAGATCAGGGTTTGGTCCCTAGCCTCATGTTCTTTCTAGTCCTCCTACCTGTTCCACCCACAGACAAAAGGGTAATAGTTGTATTAATGTGATGGATCCTCACCAATGTCTAACATGCAGTGGATGCTCAAAGATCACTAAAGGAATCATGTATAAATGTATAAAACACAATTTAAAGACACTGACAGAGAAAAGTAAGCTGTGGCAGACTTCAACAGGTGAATAATCTAAGAGGTTAAAAATTAAATAGCTGATAACATTTTGTATAAGATATTAGAGGCCCAGTGCATGAATTTGTGCATGGGTAGGGTCTGGCCAGCCTGGGTTGGGGGTGGCGGGGCGGGAAGGGAAAGGGGGGGAGGGGGTGACATGGGCAGTTGGCCAGCCTGCCTGCTGGTTGAACTCCTGGTCAAGGGGGCAATTTGCATATTAGCCTTTTATTATATAAGATATACATTGAGTAGCCAGATTATTATGCTTTCAGAGATCATAATAATATGGCCACTCAGTTTACATTCTCTAATTAGTGTTTGTGCTTGGCCAGAAAAACCAGCAAACACTCATAATCAAGCACAAAACCATCCCTACATTCTAATGTCAGTTTGAAAACAATTCTGTCACCTTGAGCTAACAGTATAACCTTGAAATGAAGATAACTCCTACTGTAACTCTTCTTCTTCTATAGCTTTGTATGGGTTAACTGAAGTTGTGAAGAAATTTGAAGATAAAAATCTGTTTTTAATTGCTGATAACCCTCAGATTAAGCACCAAATCAGGAAAAAAATATAAAAATCTCCTTATTCCCAAATTTTGCCTTCTTAGAAATGATTGCCCTGAAGTAGCATAATGACTTAGTCAGTGGTTAGCAAACTCATTATTAGTCAACACAGCCACATATCAACAGTACAATGATTAAAATTTCTTTTGAGAGCCGAAAACTGACTTCTGCGCATGGGCCACAAAGTTTCCTTTGCACTGTACATGTGCGCCCGCAAGTGGTGTTTTGTGGAAAAGCCACATTCAAGGGGCCAAAGAGCCACATGTGGCTCACAAGCCACAGTTTGCCGACCACTGACTTGAGCTAAACAGTTTTTTTTAAAAATATATATTTTTATTGATTTTTTTACAGAGAGGAAGAGAGATAGAGAGCTAGAAACATCGATGAGAGAGAATCATCAATCAGCTGCCTCTTGCACACCCCCTACTAGGGATGTGTCCGCAACCAAGGTACATGCCCTTGAATGGAATCGAACCTGGGACCTTTCAGTCTGCAGGCCGACGCTCTATCCACTGAGCCAAACCGGTTTCGACTAGCTAAACAGTTTTTGACTGCAAACACTTGCAGGCAGGATTTATGAATGGAGACATACGAAGGCCACTCTGACCAGCTTTGAAGCCCCATACTTTCTTCTAAGGCTATTTATAGAAAGTGGCTAGCCAGTGGAAAAGAGCACATTTATTTTTACAAGCCAGTCATGACATGACCAAAGAACTCACTTCCTCTCTCAGGGAAGGCTATCTTCTTCAGCTGAGGGTATAGCTTCAAGGCAGGGAAGAAAGGTATCCCCGTTAGTCAAATGAATCAGCCTGTCAGCCCCAGAGACCAACCCCACAGGGTGATAGGCAATAAGTCAAACATCCTCATTTCCCAGGTATGCCTCTATGATGCTGCTCCTTGAGATGTCATCTAGATTATGACAAACACGTAAAAATAAAATGCATTATATAATATACTTTAAAATTCTATGCTTTCAAAATAGGTTTTACAGAGATAAAGAAGTACACTCTTATTTATAATTTGTCCTACATTTCAAACAGCTAAATGTCCTACATTTAATTTTAAAGGATGTGTTTAAATGGAGAGTTTGGAAAATATTTTAAAGCTATTTTATTCTGATAGCCATATTACCCCTGAAATACGTAATATACCTGAATAGTCCCATGAAAATTTGGAGACTTTGTAAATATTTGCTGATTCTAAAATTTCATCATTTACCTTGACAGAAATCTGATATAATTTAGCAAATAACATATATAGTTTTACAAACGTCCCTGAACTTATGTAGTGTTCACAGTACCTGTTTGCAAATATGAAGTGAAGTGAAACCAATGTTTTCAACTAGAATGTCCTGTTGTCAATGGTATATGTGGCGTATAAAAATTAAGATAGCATGGGAAAGGGAAAGTGGAGAAAGGAAACTTTTGAAGGGAAACTGGAATCATAATCATTTGATAAAGATGTGGGTGTAATTTTATCCTTTACTGGCTTCTTTTTAAGAACAAAGATACAGGGCAAGAAGAAAATTCTGTTTGCAGACCCAGATCTACAACAAACAAAAATTTTAAATGACAAATACCAGATTTATTTCTTGTTCTCAAACTCAAGCCTTTTCAGAAGGCTGTCTCCTTAAAGTTCCTTCTGAAAAGGGAGGTCCCATTTTACACAGAAGCTAGAAAATACTCATCAAGTTGTCTTTAGCTTCTTTTGAGATTCTAGAAGAGACAATGATGACATGCAAATAACTTTGCAGGTGGAAATATCCTGTCCCTGAATGCATATACTGAATTAAGTTACAGATGAGGAATGACATCTGTATTAGACACAAATTTTCTGCCTCTGTAATTTAACAGAAATCTCCTTGCATGTTGCAAAAGTTGAGATACTGTCACCCATTAGCATACCTGCAAAGATGAGACACAATGCCCATTAAGAAGCTCTAAATTTACCAAAACCGGTTTGGCTCAGTGGTAGAGCGTCGGTCTGCGGACTGAGAGGTCCAAGGTTCGATTCTGGTCAGGGGCATGTATGTTGGTTGCGGGCACATCCCCAGTGGGGGATGTGCAAGAGGCAGCTGGTCAGTGTTTCTCTCTCATCGACGTTTCTAACTCTCTCTCTCCCTTCCTCTCTGTAAAAAATCAATAAAAATATATTTCAAAAAAAAGAAGCTCTAAATTAAATATAGACATATACAAAGTTAACTTCTATGTGAAAAGTTACATGCCAACATACTAGTTTCTCCAGAGAACTGTGCCAACAGTTTAATAAATATAGTAGTGATCAAAAGCACAAACAAAAGCAGCAATATATTAAGGGGGCATCAGCCTATCAGTGCTGAGGTGAATGTTCACCTACTTTATGTGCTTGATCTAAATTATACCATGAGGTCAATACTTCCCAATCAACAACTTATTTAGCTCCTAACCAAGAGGACTTCTCAGGAAGTGTGATGAGTATTTAAATAAGCTACCTCAGTGGTTTGTGTTAATTTAAGAATGCCATCTCAAATACAAGTTAGCATTTATGAAAATGTCTTAAATAATACTGGCCAATGTGGTTTTTAGAAAAGATCTCAGGAGCATGTTGACTCATTTCTCCATGGTTTAGGATGACCGGTGTTCATTACTATATTCTACATCCAAATGAGACTTCAGTGTAGTTAATTAGGCAAAGGTAATTCTATTTAACTCAAACATTTCAGTTACAATTTAAGTAATAGCTCCTGCCTGTTACACTATAACTACTTAATTTATTCCTGAGTATTATATTTTAAGCAACAATAGATGGCAATAGTCTAGAACAGTGTCCTCTCACCTTCCCCATCAGCTTCAATAGGAACTATAGCCACATTAGTGGGTTGGCCTCTTCCTAGTAGAAAAGCCAGATGCTCTGCATGTCCTAGTAAGCTACTTCCGGTGCTACCAAAAATTTGAAACCAATTCCATTTTCCTTCCTTCCTGGGTGGAATGTTAAACCCTGATTTGCAGTACAGTAAGACAAAGTTTACTCCAACTGCTCTACCCTATATTTGAGGACCAGTCATTTGGGCATTGCTTCAAAAGGCACATTTATTCCAGTGGTAATTTAAATAAGTAGAGAAGGAAAAAAAACAGATTAAAAACAAACAAAACAAAAATAGGATAGTTATTGTGGAATACATTACAGTAAATGGGTTACTGGGATCTACACAGACCACTGAGCTCCTCACCAGTAGTCTAACCTGAGTCCCTATGGTAGAATAATTCACATTTGAGTCATGGCACACAGGCCTTCAGAAAACACTGTTTAAGAAAGTAGTTGAGAATGCTCAAGCAGCTTGCCCTGATGTCCAGTTCAAGTGTATGCAATGCAGAAGGGCTGCAAAATTCATAACTATACCATAAAATTCAATGCATATCCCAGGCTTATGAAAATTATTGTATATATTACTATTTAAATAACATCTGAGAAACATTTTGAAATAATTAACTTGTGTTGTTCACATTCCATGCATTTTCTAGTATGTTAAGCCCTGTACTTATGTCTTTGTGCCCATTTTCTATAAAGCACCATTCTTTTTACAAATCCAAGCACTCCTGAGACTGTAATGGAAGTACCCAGGGATTTTGTCTACTTACCCTCTTTAATGCATACCTGACCTCACAAGGGCTACTTGTTATTACAGCTGGCACAGAAGACGACTGGAAAATATAACTGTTTTGGGTTTTATTTGGGATTTTATTTGCTACCTTCAAAAACTCCCTGGATGTCACAGACACCATCTGAATGTTGTGCATGGGCAAAAAACTTGGCCTTCTCCCTCTTGCTTGACCCACTTCCCTCATCCATAGCCCCAAGTGCACTGGACCCCACCCTCGTCATATTGGACTTTTCCCCTGTGGCTCTGCAGCACTTCTTGAGCAAAGAAGGAAACAACAAAACTGGAAAACAAACCAACAACAGTAACAACAGAAAGTACAAACAGGTGCAAACCAGCAGCCTTCTGCAAGGCAGAGGCTCACTTTTTACTGCTGAATTCAGAGCTGTTCAGGAACTTCTTGATGACCAGCCCCAGACAGATGACCAGCAGCAGCATGTAGCCCACGGTGCCCGAAAAGGTGGGAGCAGCAGGGGGCTCCTTGAGGAATTGACGCAGGCCCTCCTCGACGTAGTACACCTGGTCGTAGATGCTGAGGAAAGTGAAGATATGGAAAAGCTGGTGACTGTGGCCTATGATGTCAAAGAGGCCAGGTTGGATGCGCTCGGGGATCTTGCTCACATTGAAGAAGGCGGCTACCACCAGCCAGAAGTAGCGTCGGTAGAAGTGCACGAAGAGCGTGGGGTTCTCACCTCGTAGATCAAAGAGCCAGCTCTCAAGCATGATGGGGCAGGCCATGCTGAGTGGCATGACGAAGACGAAGGTGCGCAACGCGAACGGATAAGAGCACCAATCCGTGCGGCTCTTGCAGCAGGCCACAGTGCAGGCCACCGCCAGCACAAAGGCCACAGGCAGCACGAGTGCACGGTAGGCAGCGATGAGGAGTGTGCAGTCCACATGCCAGCCCAAGCGCTGCTGCACATAAGGGGTCATCACTCTGGCATCCAACAAGCTGAGGCCCGGTAGTAGGTAGTAGTAGTAGGCCACCGTGCTGCCGAAGCCATAATAGCTGATGGAAGCATAGTCCAGGTAGAAGAAGGCGGCTCGCAGGCGCAGTGACAGGCAGCTGAACACGTGTGCCGTGCAGCTCATGGCAAAGGTCAGCAGCACGCCGGACGCGTAGCACCACAGTGGCAGCAGCCAAGGGTGGTGGAAAGGTACGTCGCGGCCGCTCAGAAAGAACAGGCGGCAGAACTTGCTCAGGAACAGCAGAAGGGGAATGAAGTGCGTCCAGAAGTTGAGCGTCTCGTTGGTGGGCTTCAGCACCGAGGCTAGGCACTCCTGCACAGTGCAGGGCAGCCGCCGGTAGCCCGACAGTATGAAGCACTCCACGAAGTCGTCGGGCACCTCGTCCCAGCGCAGCAGCGGCTTGGTGGAGGCCTGAGAGTCCACAGAGGCTGAGGGATGGGGCGAGGAGGCCTCCAAAGTCGCCTCTGTCGTGGCCCCTGGGCCTTTTGTGCCCGCGCTCCGGGGCTGTAGGCGTCGCAGCATGGTGCCCCTGGCTTGGCTAGGACACCAACAGGCGACCTCTGGCGCGGGCTCCGGGGAACAGGCGACCTCTGGTGCCTTCGTCCGCGCACTCAGCAGTCCCCGCCGGCTGCCGTCGGAGTCTTTGTGTTAGCCCAGGGGCGTCGCTGCGGGTTCAAGAGAAGACCTGAGCCTCTAAGCAGCCGTTCCTAAAAATAAGCAAATAAATAAAAACAATCAGTTTGTAAGCAGTCAGCGACTGGCAGGAGCGCGCGTGGCTTGGCGACCCCTTCACCAGGCTTCCTGCTTTCGGCTCCCGGCCGCCAACGCTGCTGCAGCCCCAGCAGCGGCGCGGCAGACTGCGGCGGCGGCTGCTCTGCCCCAGTGACTGGGCATCGCGTGGTGCGGGCGCAGCCGCCGCCGTCCCCAGCGCGGGAGGCGGGGATGTGGGAGCTGAAGCGCTGGAGGGAGGAAGGGAGGGACCGGCTCACCGAGGGAGGGCGGGGGGCCTCCCAGGCTAGTGTTTCAGGGCCGCCTCCGGGGATAGAGTTGTCCCCTGTCTCAAGTTCCTTACCATCCCCCCTCCTCGGGCTGCAGCAGGCGAGTTGGCCCGTTAATGATTGATGAGGGGGCAAAGGCTGCGCCAGCTACTCGGCTTCGGGTGTCCAGGGCGAGGGTCGGTGCTGGGGTTCCAAACTGGACAGCCACGCGGGACGATCGGCGATCGGTGACCGAGAGGACACTGGGACTGGGGAGCCGCATTCGCTGCGGGCAGAGAGTTACGGCTGCGGTCGCGGGGGCGGGGTAGAGTGGGGGAAGGGATAGCACCAGTCGCACCACAGCTTGGCGGGGCGGGGAGATGCGCTATTAGTCCCGAGGTAGCAGGAGCAGAGGCACTCTGGAAATCGGGGAGAGCTTAGAGATCGTGTCCGGATCAGGGTGTCACTGTCAGAAACCTGGGACTACCCCTCTTTTATCTTGTGTGTCCATGCGCGCCCGGGAGCGCGCACGGCTCTCGCTGTGTGCACCACACAGATCCTTAGTTTAATCTCCTTTCGTGTAGCAGACTTACTCGAGTGCGTCATTAACCTCCCTTCTCCCTAGTCCTTGTCTTATTCAAGCCCATAGCTGGCTTCTTGTCGCACTCACCAACCCTCGAGGCCCGCAGTTCCCACATCCTCGTGTTCTTGTGTCTTTAACCGGGAATCTTATTTGGAGCTCAAAGTCCAAGAGAACTCAAGACCAGGCAAGTCAGAAAGACTGATGATCTGCGGAATTTATTAATAAGGGCTTTACTGGCAGAGCTGTGCCAGAGTCGAAGGCTTATCATAGTGGAGGGCTAGTTGAAGGAGGACTTCAAGGACAGATGAATGAACTGAAAAGAGACAGAGACAATTTTTAGAGACTGGGAGGCAGTAGCTTGGAAAAAGCTTATGCATAATTGACCAGAAGTACCAGGCAGACTTGGGTGGCTAGAGACCAAAATAAAGGAAGACTGAAAAATGGAAAAATGGCTGAAACCAGTTTGGCTCAGTGAATAGAGCGTTGGCTTGGGGACTGAAAGGACCCGGGTTCGATTCCGGTCAAGGGCATGTACCTTGGTTGCGGGCATATCCCCAGTAGGGGGTGTGTGCAAGAGGCAGTTGATCGATGACTCTCTCTCATCGATGTTTCTAACTCTCTATCTCTCTCCCTCCCTCTCTGCACAAAAATCAATAAAATATATTTTTTAAATGGAAAAATGGTTTGATACACTGCATTTGAAACTATGCCTTTGAACCTTGTAAAAGAGGGAGCTAAAAAACCTGCCTGCTCTAAAATGTTCACCATTTCACTAAAGTTTATCTTAGTGATGTCCTGGGGTATGACTGAGTCTACCTGCAATATAGTAGTGTCATGGCAACAGGGGCTAACTATAAGGGATCAAACACTGTTCTGAGTACATCACAGCTTTTAACTCTTTAATATATTACTAGAGGCCTGGTGCATAAAATTCACGGAGAGAGGGGAGGAGGTTCCTCTCAGCCCAGCCTGCACCCTCTCCTATTGGGAACCCTCAGGGGATGTCCAACTGCTGGTTTAGGCCCAATCTACTGGCAGTCAGACATTCCTATCACAATCCTGGACAGCTGATTCCTAACTTTTCACCTGCCTGCCTGTCTGGTTGCCTCTAAGTGCCGCCCACCACTCTACTCACCCCTAAATGCCTCTGCCTGCTGGCCTGGTCACCCCTAACTGCCCCCCCCCAACCCTCTTCCAGTCTGGTTGCCTCCAACTGCCCCACCCCCTGCTGGCCTGGTCACCCTAACTGCCCCCCACTGCCAGCCAGGTCACCCCTAACTGCTCCTGCTGCTGGCCTGGTCACCCCTCATCACCCCTAATTGCCTCTGCCTACTAGTCTGATCACCCCCACACAGCCTGCTGTTCAGTCATTTGATCACCCCTCACTAATCTCCCTACTGGCCTGGTCATCCCATGCAGCCTGTCCAGTCATATGGATTTTTCCCATTTTTTTTTTACAAATAAGGAAATGGAGGCACCATGACCATAAATAACATGCCAAATTGGTAAAAGTGGGACTTGAACCTACCCAAGCTGCCTCTAGATCTTGTGTACTTAAACCAGAACATTCAACAAGCTTCTTTGCTCAAAGGAAACTGGAAGGGCAGTCATATTTAGGAAAAGGCTTTCATTTTATAAATGAAAGGATATCTTCATAATGACAGCAAATCTTATAAGTAGATTAAGAAAGATTTACTTAGTATGGCTCCAGGAGGACTTAAGTTGTGGGAAAGAATCATTTATTTATAATTAAGAAATAATTCAGTATTGTAAATATCTAAATTACTAAAGGTAATAGAAGCAGTCTTGTTAGAAGTTTTAGCCTTCTCTGTGAAAAAAAAAAATGTTTTCCACTTAGCAAACTCTACACAATTAGGCCAAAGGTACATTGCATCTTATGCTTTTATGAGCTATTCATAAATTCCTGATTGATGGATTTTAAATTAATGATATATTGCTGCAGTTACTTAGCTAGTATTTTTTTTTTTTTTTTTTTTTTTAGTATTTTCTATTTTTCCACTTCCATAGCTTTGTTATTTTAAAGAAAAATCTAACTTCATTTCACATCTGGACTAAAGACCAGGCTAATTTGTAAAAGAGAAAGATTCAGGCATTTATAAATCAGGCCTAGGAATGATAAACCTGAATAGACCAGATCAGAAAATTTTTTTCATATTCTCTTTGTTATTCCACAAACAACCTGAACAGTTACCTAAAAAATGTTCATCCCTCAATAATTCTCATATTTGCCAAGCTGTTAGTTGCATAATCAGCTCACTTACATAATTGGGAAAAATATAATAGAAAGTTTACTTTAAGAAATAACAGAATTAACTGTAAATGAATGTGTAAAACTTTAGATAGATAAAATAACATCTTATCTAATAAAAGAGTAATATGCAAATTGACCATACCTCTGTTAACACCCACAAGCCACATCCACCAGCCATGCTCACCAGACAATCAGAGCGAGTATGCAAATAAACCCAACCAAGATGGCTGCGGCCACAGAGAGCAGGAGGGAGACTTGGGTTTCCCAGGCAATGGAAGAAGCCAAGCTTTTGGCCTGCCCTAGACACCTAAGCCTCCACTCAAGACTACAAAGTTTCAATTATAGAAGGTAAACAAAACCAAACGGAAATGGCGGCTACCAGGGAGCAAGCAGAAGGCTTGGCTCTGCTCCAGGTTACAAAGTTTCAATTGTAGAAGGTAAATAAACTCCAGGTACCAGGGCCTCTGCTTAGGTCGCCCGGGTCATGGCTGGAAACCACCACAGGTCCCTCATCTAGGCCGCCCCATGCCCCAAGGGAACCCCCACCCTGATCCAGGACATCCTCAGGGCAAACCAAGTGGTCCCCACCCATGCATCAGGCCTCTATTCTATGTAATAAAAGAGTAATATGCAGATTGGCCATTACTCCAACACACAAGATTGCTGCCCCCATGTGGTCAAAGATCCTGCCCCCATTTGGACACAAGATAGCCACCACAAGATTGCCTGCAGGGGAGGGCAGTTGGGAGGGACCAGGCCGGCAAGGGAGGGCAGTTGTGGATGATTGGGCAAGCAAGAGGGTGGGGGGGGGGGGCAGTAGGGGGGAACCATGCCTGCAAAGGAGGGCAGTTGGGGATGATCAACCTTGCAGGAGACAGCAGTTAGGGGTGACCAGGCTGGCAGAGGAGGAAAGTTGGGGGCAAACAGGCTGGCAGGGCAACAGTTAGACATCAATCAAGCTGGCATGGTAGTGGTTAGGATGTGATCAGGAAGGCTAGCAGTTGGGAGCCAGCAGTCCTGGATTGTGAGAGGGATGTCCAACTGCTGGTTTAGGCCTGATCCCATTAGGGTAAGGCCTAAATGGACACTCAGACATCCCTTGAGGGATCCCAGATTGGAGAGGGTGCAAGCTAGACTGAGGGACACCACCAACCCTCCCTCACCCCACCCCTCCATGCACGAATTTTGTGCACTGGGCCTTTAGTTTATCTTTAGGGGTTCATGAAAGTTCTCTGGTGTCAACCCACACAGCTGTTCTTGCTATACTTTGGGAAATTCAAGTGAAAATGAACTGAAGAAACAGGAAAACTTGTCTAACTTTATTTTTTACTTATTTTTAATCCTCACCTCAAGATATTTTTTAATTAATTTTTGGAGAGAATGGAATGCATGGGGAGAGACAGAGAAACATCGATTAGTTGCCTCTCACATTCTCCCCAGGATCTAGCCTGCAACTAAGGAATTGAATTCAGGACCTTTTAGTCTGTGAGCCAACTGAGCCAAACCAGCTAAGGTCTAATTTAATTTTTTAAAACTCCAGCAGTATGACTTCCTTAATTGCTACCATAGAATTAATTTTTCTTAAGTTTTTTTGATATGTAAATATATGTAAAAAAAAAAAATGTGTCCTCCAAACCCTCAGGCTGGGATTTGTAGTTTGTTGTGTAACTCCAGTAAACTAACTGCCCCT